ACACACACACACACACACACACAGACACACACACACACACACACACACACATGCACAGACAGACACACACACACACAGACAGACACACACACACACAGACAGACACACACACACGCACACAGACAGACAGACACACACACACACAGCTGTTACTGTTCAACACCTTTTTCTTGTTCTTCTCTTGGTTACCACAGGGCATCACCTGACTTCATCTCAGCCTCTCCGTTGCATTCCCGACCAGTCTGGTATGGAAATCTGTTGATGTCAAACATTTCATACTGGGAACATTTCCTGACAGAATCCATTAAATCCTATAAATTCCTGAGCCTGATGCAGTTTGTGCCATTGATGGGAGACTTGGCAGCCTCATAAACTAAACAACATGGAACATGATCCAAAATGACAAAATGACAATGCAGTCACAGTAACAATCCCAGAGTTTAGATTTTAGTGATAATTACTCTGATAATACAGCGCTGTGACTCTTTCAGAGGGCTCCTGTAAATCTAGTTATCTTCATATTATAGTGAAGCAGTTTTATGAGGCTGAACAGAAAAGCAGAGGGACACACCACACAAATGACTGACTCCTCAGCAAACACAGTAACCTTAAACAGCTTGAACCAGTTTAGACCTTTAACCTTTCAGATCTGTTGAGACAGAATCCACCACAGTGCTGCGTTAAATACAAAAACATTTCAAAGATATAAGCAAGTATCCAAACACTGCTTTGGGGATCCTACTGTGGTATATTAATGGAACGCCTTCCACTTTCCTATGATACGTGCCAGGCTGTGGATGGACTCCAATAGATCGATGCTCCCGGGGGTAATGGACGTTCCAGCCGTGTATTAGAGCCCTAACCCTAACCTGAACCACCAACGTGTTAGATGTTGGGTGGCCGAAAGCAGAACATACTGAAGATCTGTCACCAAGCGTAACATGTTACACTTTGGGAGTGAGAACGTGCTGATCTGTCAGGAGTTTTCTCACAGTTCTGTTTTTTTATGAAGATGCTCCGTGTGAAGCAGCCAAAGCTGACCTCGTGATACTGGTGGATGAGTCTGGGAGCATCACTCCTCAGGACTTCAGAATCATTCGCTTGTTTCTCAGGCACTTTGTCAACAACCTCGACATCGGTCTGGACCGAGTCCAGATCGGTAATGTTTTTATTTATGCTCTTATTACTAGCTGACTGTTAGTAATGATACTGTTTCATTTAAAGGACTTAAAGCTTGGGGAAATATTCAAATACATGTATACCAATTTATTCTTGCTATGAGCTTGTTAACAGTAATGTGTTTTTAGTGATGTTTTTAACATAAATAGTTTGTATTATGAACAGAATGCTCTGCTGGGTGTTTTCTGCAGGTCTGACTTTGTTCAGCACCACACCAAAGACTGTGTGGCACCTGAACACCCACCAGACCAAACAATCCCTGCTGACGGCCATAGAAGACCTAGAAAAAGCGCGTGGAAGCACTTACACAGGTGAGCAAGCAGCTTATGACCCAGTCTAGAGGTTCTCACCATCTGGGAAATGGGATCTAAGACATGGGAGCCAAATGTATTTTATTTCTGTATACGGTTGAATGAAAATGACGATCAAAGTAGTTTTTGCATTCTGACTGTTTTTAAATGGAATCCAACGCAATTACATCAGGATAATCTGAAGGGACACATCACTCACACACTACCAAAGCTCCGATGGGTTCCTGTTGAAATGCATCTTGGGGTTTATATTGATCGTGCTTTATCACTCTCCACTTCTTGTTTCCTCTTTCGCGTCACAGGAAAAGCTCTGACACACATCCTCCGTAACCAGTTCAAACCCAATGTGGGAATGCGTCCAGACTCCAAAAAGATTGCTGTTCTGATCACAGACGGGGCGTCTTATGATGACATAGAACTTCCCTCAAAGGATTTGAAAGACAGCGGCATTGAAGTCTTTGTTATTGGTGAATAATTTCATTTTTCTATTAAGTCTTAACCATTAAAAAGTGTTCTAAAAACAGTTAATGAAAAAAATGGTTTAAACCCCTTTAACTAAATCTGAAAGTCTAAACTTCAGTAACATCTTGATGGGCGGCCCCCTCTACCAGCTTATTTCCCAGTCCCAAAACCAGTCCCAAACAGGGTCATGAACCCTGCCTGAAACCTTGAGCAAAGCCTATTTTAATCCGAAAAACCTTTAAAAACTTACCTGAAACTGTTCCAAACAGTAAGATTTAATTTGCTTCAGCTGTTGGAATTACAAGTTCACAGTGCCGGAGCCCAGCGTCCTACAACAGGCTGCCTCACACCAAAGACAACCCTGACACGGGCTGCACAGCTTATATACTGTGACAGTAACTGTGACTGTGGGCAGTCCTCCCCGGTTCAGTCCTTCCTTCTGACCTCGCCTTGTGTCTGCTTCTCCTGGAATCAGAAAGACAGACACAACACACACCCTGCATAGCCTTGATTATCTAATATTATCCATTATTCTTCTGCTGATTCTAAGGCCCAGTTCAGGGCCTTGTTTGGACTTCCTGACCCAGAGACTATTCTAACCAGTATCATGTGTATGTAAGCATGCTGCAAAAACCCTCCTTCACTCTATGTCTTCCTGCAATATTTCAAATCCAGACAATAGCGCTGAATGAAGCTCTCAAGCCTCAAAACACAGAGCGCCGACCTGTTTATGAGCACATTCGCATTATGTATACATTAAAATAAAACAACAATTCTATAAACCACAATTTTTCTACTCTAACCATGCAAGCATACGAACCCCTGCCCAGAGTAGAACTGAGTCCAACCTGTCTGCAGGACACTGGTTCCAAATATGACAAAGCCATGTAGCTCACATGTTAAGCAGCAGTACTGACACTTTTGTCTTTCAGGTGTTGCAAAAGTCAATGTGACTCAACTGAAGTTGATCAACGCTGATCACAATAAAATTTACATAGTCAAAGACTTTGACAGTCTCCAGGACATTGTCGTCGAACTCATTATCAATGTCCTTAGAAGTGTTAAAAGTCTAGGTAAGTAAAAAAACATTCCTCCATTACAACGGTGCATGTTCGAATGATACTGATGTTAGCATTAGTCTAAACAGGGCGAGGCAATGGGACAAGTATGTGGATCCATGCATTTGAAGGCAACATTGGCATCAGTGTGATCCAGCCAAAAAAGCTCTAGGCTGAGTTTCCAGTAGCTATTTTTTTCTGTTACTAGTCATGGGCAGGTGTGACTGACTGCTAACTAACTCACAGCAGAACCAGGAACAGGAAACCATCAGCTTCTTTAAATTTGAGAAAAGAAGGAAATGTGCATAAGGTAACTGCCTGACTTTAAGGGTGTACAGCCTCCTTTTTTTCACAGTGAAACTGCACCATGGGGTCCTTTTGCATGTTCCCAAGACTGTGCTACAAAAGAAACCTTTACTTTGTGTTTCAGTGTTTTATTGGACCGCTGTTTGATTTCTCTGATCTCTGCAGACTCTGTCAGGCTGCTGAACGGTTCCAGTCTGTGTTCAGGCGGACTGCAGGTGAAGTCTAACCAGAGATGGTCCTCAGTATGTGAAGCTGATTTTGACCTGCAGGATGCAGAGGTGGTCTGCAGGGAGCTTGGCTGTGGACCTCCTTCGCTCCTCCAGGGGGCGCTCTATGGAGAAGCGGAGGCTCCAGTGTGGAGCAGAGAGTTCCAGTGTGGAGGCCATGAGTCTGCTCTCCTGGACTGTAGAAGCTCAGGCTCAGCTAGAAGCAGCTGCTCACCTGGCAAAGCTGCTGGACTCACCTGCTCAGGTAGAAGAGGAGCTGCAGCTTTGGTTCAAACTCACTTTGTTCTTTCACTGATGACTCTCCGCTTTCTGTCAGAGCCTGTCAGGTTGGTGGGAGGAGCCAGTCGCTGTGCAGGTACACTGGAGGTGAGACGAGGAGAGTGGAGACCAGTGGCGATGGATATCTGGAACCTGAAGGATGCAGCTGTTTTCTGTGGACAGATGAACTGTGGTTCTGCTGTTTCTGTAGGAAATACTCAGAGTTCTTCACAGAGATCGGTGTGGTGGATGGAGTCACACTGTGTTCAGGCTGGGTACGCTCTGAAAGAGTGCGCATCAGCAGATCGCTCTTCCTCCACCCTGGATATCACCTGTTCAGGTAAGTCTGTCAGAGACATCATCTAGGACGGTGAAGTTTCTCGTTACCCGTCTCCTCTGTGACAGTGACCGTGGTAGAAGTTCACTGGACGTGTTCATGGTCTCCTCGTTTGGTAGAGACACTGTAATCTGACGGTCCGGAGTCCAGCATTGTTGAGCTGATTGTGTTTAGAAGGCCTTTTTGGTTTGTGTGTAAAGTAGAATTCAATTGCAGTTGAAGCTGTATAATGAAACATGAAGCTTTTGAGTGTTTTTCATGGTTTCATTGCTTATTTAAGTTAATTCTTCAAATGCTGATGCTGTGTAAACAATTTTAAAACTCATAAAATGAAATAAAACTCACTGAACAAATTATTCATCTAAACAACATAAAATGTTTCCAGTTTAGCAGTTCAGTGTGAACCCCAGTCACGACCTTCGGCATTCAGTGTGTTTCTGATGCTTTTACTTAGAATCTGAATCTTTATTGTGATCGTCACAGGTGCAACGAAATTAAAAATGGTCCCCGATCACCGCATCATCCCTAACGATATCAAAATATAATTAAAATATAAATAAAACAATAAAACTCAATAAATAAAATAAATAGAATACTTAAAGTGCTAATAAGAGACATCAACAAACATTCACATACATGCTTCGGTCAGCGCATAGATTAATACAAGAGTGGCATGATTGGCATTTTTTTTGTAGCAGCATTCAGACGTGTTACTGCAGTTGGATAAAAGCTGTTTGAGTCTATTAGTCCTTACACTGATTGCTCTGTACCGTCTGCCTGAGGGCAACAGTTTAAACAGGGAGTGCCCAGGATGTGAGGAATCTTCTATGATGTTTTGGGCATTTTTAAGACAGCGGCTGTTGTGTAGATCTTCCAGAGTGGGGAGGGGGCAGCCAGTGATCTTTTGGGTGGTGTTAATGACCCCCTGGAGTGCTTTCCTCTGAGCCCCTGTGCAGCTAGTGTACCAGATGCATATGCAATAGGTTAGTACACTTTCAATGGTGGCTCTGTAGAAGAATGCGTCCTTCATTTCCCCGAATTTGAAGGATGGGTCCGGTGTGTCCTTCATGGCCCACCATATCCCAGAATTCATAGCGCAGCCCAGCCAATTTCAGTTTTCAACAATGGCGGCTGCTACTAAGTTTTAAAATTACTCTTATTACTCTTTCTGGGTCACAAAGTAAACTTTTAACATATTTTCAGGCAAGAAAGTAGCTGTGTAAACTTCAAATATCTGCTCGGTTTATCAAGACGTCGCATATTTGCAAAAGTGCACCAACTGTTTCGGAGAAGTCTGTTACCCACCAGCTCGACAGCTGACCGGGGGGTTCAATGGTCACTCGAGCCGGCGAGAGCAGCGGACTCCCGGCTTCATCGTTTTCAGACCCCCGCTGTCTTTCACTACTCAGGTTAAACATGATATAAGTCACTCGAATAACTTAAAAATGTAATTGTTTGGCTTTTTTCTGTGTTTTATTTGTTCCTGAGTAAATCGGTTTGGCTGAGATCAAAGTTATTAGATTAAATAAAACCTTATTAACCCTTCGGGTGGGTTCCTCCGGGATTTTCATACAGCTGAATAAACGTCAAACATCAAAGTGTGAGACGGTCGAGAATTTACGCCCGTGTCCTGTTATATTTTAGACAGCAAGGAGCAGACGGCGAGTTTATTAAACTCCACCGACACAGCGGTGACACAAATCTCAAGGCTAGACCGTCCCATTTCACAGCCTCGCACTTCCGGCCTTCTCAGTCTTCGAAGGACCCAGCCCACGTCGACCGCAAAGGCCGGGTCCTCCGAAGGATGCAGCCTACGTTTTGGGACACAGCTCCAGAGTGATGTTATCCCTCCTGAGAATTCTCAGGAAGTCTCTGTTGGGCCCATTTCAGCAGCTCGGAGGTGTTCACACTCCAGGAAAGGTTCTCCTCTATATTGACTCCCAGGAAGCGGAAGCTTGGCACCCTTCCTACACAGTCTCCGTTAATGAATAGTGGTGAGATCTCTGCCTTTTTCCTTCTGAAGTCTATTATGAGTTCTTTGGTTTTTGAAGTGTTGAGGAGGTTATTGGCCTTACACCATAACGACAGCTGCTCCACCTCGTCTCTGTAAGATTCGTCACCCCTGGAAATGAGCCCCACCACGGTGGTGTCGTCTGCAAATTTCACAAAGATGTTGCTGTGGTGGACATGAGTGCAGTCATGTGTAGAGCAGTGGACTGAGCACACAGCCCTGAGGTGAGCCAGTGCTGAGGCTCAGGGCTGAGGATGTGTGATGGCCAACTCTGACTCTCTGTCTATGGCCTGAGAGGAAGCTGTTGATCCACAGGTGCTGTATGGAAGCCCCAGGTCTTGTTTACAACAAGAGTTTAGTTTCAGCTCTGTCGTTTCAGTCCACGACCAGACAGATTTCCAGCTGGCTCCACTCTGCTTGGAGCATGATTACTGGATGGGTTTCAGGTGTCCTGCCAGCCTCTGTGGCACTACCCCTCAAGCATGCTGCACCATCCTTCCCTGCAACGGACCCGTAGACCAAACCTCCGCCACACACCCCCGCCGTCCAACTGAGGCCAGGGAGCACCCCAGCAAGTGGGAGAGAAAATCCGCTACTACCAGCTTGGCCTATGGACCACCTTGAATTTAAAGGGGTGCAAAGAGCTCAGTGAAGCGCTGGAAAGTTGTTGTGGTTCCGAACAAGCCAAATGGAAAGATGACACATCTGCAAACCGCTGCTGCTGTACAGCAACATCTGCTCCCTTGGGCTGTGTGAGATGGTAATAACAATCACCCTCATAGTCAACATCACCGACTCGCTGTGTGACCACAGAGGCTCCTTAACACTTGGCAAATAACCTTGAGCTAGAAGAAGGGCGATCGTGGCTCAAGAGTTGGGAGTTCGCCTTGTAATCGGAAGGTTGCCGGTTTGAGCCCCGGCTTGGACAGTCTCGGTCGTTGTGTCCTTGGG